TTGAGAAAACAATGTATATTTTATCGTGTTTCAGAATATTAATGTTTGAGGAGAAAAAGAAAGAAAAAGAAAGACCMAAAGGCGTGGCTCCCAAGAGAGACCTTTCAAGTCTTCCATGAACTYGTTAATAATGTTAAWTTTTTAGACTCAATTTTCTTAAAACGTAATTTTGATATTCAGTTGTTAAGTTTTTAATGTTGTGTAACTGATGCGAAAAAAGCATTCACACTGCAGTATTTTCATTAATGTTGACATGTCACTCAGTCAATGGATTGCTTAATATTTTGCAGAGGAAAAGGCAATTTTTAATTTTGTTGGACACCCACTTGTCGACATTTGGCCCTCCCAAAAAAAACAAACAAAATTTCTCAATACATTCATTTTTTCACTTAGTTGATAATTTGCTGCATTTGAAGGTCAGTGTTGGGTCTCATCACCGTTTGCACTTAGCTTTTCTAATTTCCATGAATATATTTAAGTAGCCTCCCTTGCAGATGGTTAAATTTCTTAACACAGRAGCTGCTGCATAGGAGGCCAAGGCGTTTCAGTGATGGAAAATTGACTTTTTTAGTTGAAGCCTGAATGAATTTTAGTTACTTACTCTTTTGTGTCTGTACAATAACATTTTTAACTGTTATTTCCTGTAATCTAATGAATTCTTAGCAATATACTTTTCCTCTTATTCTGTTTTCGTACATGAAAGAATTTATTTGTTAAAATTAGTTTTATTTAATAAAGTATCTGTCATTTTATTGGTGTTGACTGAAATAGAAGAAAAAAGGGAAGGTTACGGTATATTGGATACTAGTAAAAAAAACCCGTTCTTTCATCTTGTTCGTGTTTGATTGAAAATCTAAAGGCCCAGTTTGCACTTATGCTTTGCGCGCCTCTGTTATTGTTAAGATTTTAGAAAAAAAAATACTTCTAGAGTACAAACTCACCATAAAAGAAATGTCCAATGGTTGAAAACTCTAAAATTAGCGTCGAACGTGATTATACAAAAGTGAGATGGTCAAGATATGGGCGGATTCGAAACGCAGTTTATTGACTTTCGACAAACTGAAAATGGCCGCCTCCAGGCCATCGCGGCTCTCAAAGCATAATGGTGCACACTGGGCCTTTAAATTGAAGGTGAACAAACACGTCGTATGAATGGTTTTTGTTTCTATACTGCCGTACAACCCGGGACATCTATATACAATGTACAGTTCGCGATCTCTGACAATTGACAAGGACAGCGTCCAATCCCAGGTTTGGAAGCCGAAGCTATCTTACCCCATCGCACGCCACATCTCCTCCTTCCAGGGGCTTGCGCAAGTTATCCACCTTGGCGATACTCGGATAAAATCCATGCACTGATTCTGTTTGTTGCGCAAAAAGCTTTCAAAAACAAAGACAGAAAGACAAGGAAAAACGAAAGAAAGAATGCGAAAAAGAAAAAAAAGATGAAAACACGCTACAATGGTAACCCGAAAGATTTAGATTTTTTCCGATTCGAGGCTAAACCTGTATATGGCTGCGACCTCAAAAAGCTGAAAAAAGGCCGCTTGGGATCGAAGACAGCTTCG